CGGGGCTTTGAGCACCCTGGGCTGGTGGAAGGGGTCCCTGCCCATGGCAGGGGATTGGAACTGGATTATCTGTAAAGTCCCTTCCAACCCAAACCATTCCATGGTTCTATGATCCATTGGCATTCTTAGTTATAAAGCTCAGATTCCAGGTAGAAAGAAAGGAAAGAAATGTTTAAGATCAATAGAGCGTGAGGCAACTTGTTTCCTTTTCAGTGGTGTTTAAGGCACAGGAGTGACTGTCAGCAGAGCTGCGCTCTGTGCTCAGGGCTGTCGTGCTACACCAGCGGCAGTGGTGCGCTTCAGGGAGTTACCTGCAGGTCTGTGAGTGGTGCTAGGAATTAATTACTTTAGTACTTAGCTGTGGAAGCAGAAGTAAAACACCGATGTGAGGGCTGGGTCTTAATTGCAATTATTTTTCTTTCAGTTCTTCAGAACCGCGTCCAGCTGGCCTGGAGGAGAGTGATCAGTCATCGATGTCTGGAGAACAAGGGATTAATTTGGATAATTCAGGCCCTAAGCTTTCAGATTTTGCAAGTAGACCACCAGGTAGTAGGATTTTTCTGTTGAATTGTAATAATTGTAGGAGAGATTTTAACTGATATTTGTGACAGTTCTGTTTTATTTGTGTTATCACATATCGAAGTCCAAAGCTTTTTTTCCTCCTAGTAGCTAATTAGTACCATTGTTTAAGTGTTTTCTTTGAATTAGCTGAAAATGAAGAGGTGGCCACATTCTCGTGTTTCATCCTGCAGGTATCATGTTGAATACTGTAGAGTTATTCGTCAGTAACATAACTGATGAAAAATTCTGTATTTCTATCTCTAGCATGGGCTGATGCCTTAAAAATCTAGCATTAATCAATAGCTGATTTTTCATAATTAAGTCGTAGAGGTTGCAAGTGGAATTATCCTTTGCACGTAGCGAGGATTAAATCCAAAATCTGCAAAGGAATTTATATTACAAGCCACACGGGCAGTTCTTAGCACCATTTTTGGCCAAGTAATATATGGCAGCTTCTGTTTTGTACACTAGAAAATGCCAGATCTGTAGCAGGCGTGCTAGTCCACGTCCCACAGGGCCTGTCAAACTCTGAAGTTTGTTTTAAGATGTATAAATTCGTGAAAGTCCAGCACTGCATTTGTAAGTGAAAGCAAGCCCGTGGACAGTTGCAGAGGCTTTTCAGGTGGCATGAATCTGGAGTAATAGCTAGTAGCTGATATGATATACTAAGAGATCTCCAATTAAAGGTCTTGCAAGTCACTCACACTTTAAGTAAAATTATTTTTAAGAATTAAGTAAAATATTTGTCCTTATTTGTAAAGCCGGTTTCATTAATGTGTCTGTTGCCTGGGATAAACAGGCTCCTGGCTGTATTTTCTATCCGATCCTGTTCATTTCAGAAATTCTGCTTTCTCTGACCTTTCTTTGGTTTTAATGAACGTATCGTCTTGTCATCTTAGGTTATCCATCTCAGCCAGTGGAACAAAGACCACTTCAGCAGATGCCACCTCAATCCGCAGCAGCCACAGCCGCCGCCGCAGCAGCAGCAGCCGCAGCCACCACCGCAGCCAGCCCAGACAGCACCACAGACACCGCAGCAGCAGCAGATGATGATGATGCTTATGATGCAGCAGGATCCCAAATCGGTCAGGCTTCCTGTACCACAAGGCGTTCACCCACCCAGAGGCCCTCTGAATCCAGATGCTCAACGAATGCCCATGCAGCAGAGTGGTAACATGCCAGTAATGGTTAACCTCCAAGGTCCTGGATCAGTGCCTCCATCTCCTGATAAACAAAGAATTTCCTTGCCAGGCAATCCTCCTCTGGGAAATAATGCAAGAAAAATGGTTTATCAGGATAATGTACAGAATCCTTCCAGCTCACCCCTCAGAGAGGTTTCATCAGTATCCTCCCTTCCAGAAGGAGGTGGAGCTGAAGGCCCTCCAGCCTCAGGAGCTCAGAATAATTTGACGTCTCATTTAGTAGTTTCACAGAATCAATTAATGATGACGGGACCCAAACCTGGACCATCCCCACTTTCAGCTGCCCAAGGTGCAAGTCCCCAGCAGCAATCTAGTTCTCTGCCTAGTGCTCTTACACACCATTTTCCAAATGTTGGCACCCCGTCGCAAACTTCAAGGCCTAAAACCCCAAACAGAGCAAGCCCAAGGCCATACTACCCTCAGACTCCTAACAACCGTCCACCTAGCACAGAACCATCAGAAATTAGCTTGTCTCCAGAGAGACTCAATGCTTCTATAGCTGGTCTGTTCCCTCCCCAAATTAATATTCCTTTACCTCCTAGGCCTAATCTCAATAGAGGATTTGATCAGCAGGGTCTTAATCCCACTACTTTGAAGGCCATTGGACAAGCCCCATCAAATCTCACAATTAACAATCAGTCTAGTTTTGCTGCTCCACAGTCACACAAATTGGAAGGTGTGGTCATTAATTCAGGAAAACAAACCAACACTGGAGGAACAAAGAGAGCAAGTCCGAGCAATAGTCGAAGGTCCAGTCCTGGATCCAGTAGGAAAACTACACCAAGCCCTGGAAGACAGAATTCAAAAGCAGCTAAATTATCATTGACACCTCAGCAGAATCCATCTCTCTTGCAGAACATGGAATTACAAAGGAATATGATGGCTGGTCCCTCTTCTTTGCCAACACCTGTGACTACAAGTTTTCAAAATAACAACACGCTAAGTAATCAGAACCCTGCAATTACTGT